ATGGGGGTTGCTTGTTTGGAAGAGTGTTAAAGATGTATCACATAGTTTTGTTTTGTTTGTAGGGATATTAAAAATGGTTGATTCTGCGCCAGAATCAATTAAAAAAACTAAATCAAGATCTGGTGATCGGAAGTTTTTGTTTTCTGGGCTTTCTAATAGAAGTGGGCTTGTCCAATATTTTTTGTTGGTGATGTTTTTTGTTGTATTTTGGTGATTATGATTCATATTGGAGTTGGTTTCATTTACCTGTGTAGTTTGTAGTTTCTTGAATATTATCTAGTTCTTGAAGATAAAAAATAATAATTACATTCTGGTATTAATTCGATTCAATTGGTGCTTCATTTTTATGTTCTATTTTAAGCATAATAATAATAAGTGTGGTTTCTGGGTCACTTTTGTCATCTGTGGCGTCAGAGTGTATGTGGTTTAACTGTTGTTCTGAAATTTCTGTAGTGTCGGTACCTGGAGGGTCTGATTTTAATTCATCTGTAGATTGTACTTGATAAATTGGTCATTGATGTTTCGGTGTACTGCTTCTATAGTTTCAATTTTGCGTTTTAGAATTTAGAGGATTTCTTTGATGGGGTGACTGAAAAAATTTTCCTGATCTGTTCTGATAGTTGTTGTTTGTGTTTGAAGAATTATCAAGGATTCTATTATTAAAATGATTATTTTTTGGTCTATTCCTGGAGTAGTTTTGTGATCGTTATTCGAATAATTTCGATGTCGAATATTTGAAGAGTTTCATTTTCGGTTGTTTGAAGCATTTCTTGAACGATCATTGCAATAGTTTCTATTCCGAGAGTTTGAATAAGAATAGTTTGAATTTTTACTTCTATTTGAGTTTGATCTAGAGTAATTATTTCTTTACGGATTAATTTGACTATTCGATCTGCTATATATGTTCTGTGAATAATATGCAATATTGCAATCTTTCTTCAATCTGGTAATCTTCCGCAAATATTTTTCTACCAGGAAGATCGTGATCTGTTAGTGCTATAGCTCTTTTGAAGTGGTTTTCTTGAGCATTTCTTACTTTGAACAATTTTGCTTGAATGATTTTCATGTTTTTTTTTTGTTTTGATAAAGAATTGTTTGTTTATCTGCGTTGTTGCGGTCTATTTAAGTTGTCTTGTTGTTTTTGTCTGCATTCAGTAAAAAGATGTCAAAATTTGCGACATTGTTTACTCTATTTTTTGAATAATAATTTGACTTTGAAATTTGAATTCTTTTCATAAGTGTTTAATATTTGAATAATTTTGTCTGCTAGTTCGTTATCAGAGTCTTGGATATTTTTATTATATCAAAATGTTGTTTGAGTGTTTTTAACATACGTTGCTTACATACGTAGTTCTCGGGTTGATAATGGATGTGATGGTCGCTTTTTTATTACAATTTTGCAAAATTGTGGTGTTAGGGTCACCACCAAAATATCGGTCAATTTCGGGTTTATAATCATGTGTGTTGAGAGAATAACCTTTTCGTGCTAGGGTTTCAATTCCTTTAACGAGCTGTTTTTTTTTTTAAAGTCTACGAATTTCGTTGCACGAAACTCTTGATGTTGTTTTTTTCAGAATCGAACAATTTTGAGTATTCTTGTGTGCATCGTTTCCAATCATTTTTTTTTCAATAGGTAAAACTGAAAACCATTTTTGAGCTGAGCCGTCAAGTGTGGTTTGAATTAGTGCTGTTCGCCTATGTATCCATTTCTGGTGGAATCGTGTATTTTTTGGTTCTGGGCCTATGTTTAAAATTAGTTTTGCTGTAACTGCATTGAAGTAACCTTCTACTGATTATCCAGGATCTGTTCCTGTGAACAGCATTAGTCATTTATTAGATGTTAGGTATGGATTCATGGTCATTTGATGTGATTCTGCTGTGTTTGGTATTTGGGTAAAAATTTTAAGTTTAATTTTTGTGATTTCGTGTTGTTTTAGATTATATGAAACTGGAATTTCATTTTGTTTTGGATTGAGTTGAAAACCTTGACTTTTTATATGGTTTTGTGATTAGTTATTTTTTTTATCGTGCCAAAATTTGGCACTGAGGAAGGTGTTGTTGTGTTGGTCGTGTGTATTCTGAGTTTATGTAGGATTCAAAAAAAATCCCTGGTCGATGAAAATTATCTGGTGGTCAATTTTTTCGAAAAATTTTCGCGGGTTATTATTGTACTCTTGTTGGTTTTGGTTGAAGTAGTCTACATCTTCGGAAAATTGTGGCTGACTTCTTGTGCTTTTGTGAATTGTTTCCTTGCTGAATTTTTGTTCTGTTGAAAAAATGGGTAATTTTTGATACGGTATATTGAAGTTATCGGTTACGTATGACTTTCAATGAAAAATACCGATTGATGAGATGGTTGTGCTATCTGTTGAGTTCAATTATGTTCTTGTGATTGACTTTGCGTTGTGTAAAAGAGTTTCGCTATTGGGTTGCTAATGTTATTGTTTGCGAAAAAATCATAATTGTGATTTGCGAAATCATTTTTCAAAATATTTTTTCTTGTTCGATGGTCGTGTTTTAGTTATTGGTCTATATGTTTGATAATCTATATGAGAGTATTTTGTTATAACGGATGGTTTGACTGTTGATTGTAGTGCAGTTTATTTGGAGGAAGCATTTTTATTATGTGGTCTTGTGAGTGTTGAATGAAATGGGGAAATACTTAAATGTGTTGTAATAGGTTTTAGTTTCTATTAATTCTTCGTTTACAAATTATAATGGGGTTTGGATATCCTGTTTAGTCAGATTTCAAGTACCATTATGAGTTTCCTGAGTAATTTTAAATGTTGAGTTTAAACTATTATAATTTGTCCTATCATGAAATTTTGTGTTATAATTTAAGGGAGCGTGTTGTATTAGTGGTGAGTGGAGTTACTTTTAGGAAATCTTTGAGCACAAATACAGTGGCGGTTGCCGCACTTGAAATATCGTTGGGATATTTAAAAAAAATGATGAGACCATTCAGTGTCCAATACATAATCTGTTTGGTCTACTAATATTGTTTCATCGTCTGAAGTTTGTGGTCGAAAGATTTTTCTTTTTCTCGATATCTTTCACCGTTGAGATTAGATCTGAATTGTGTACAAAATAGTCTTTAGTGAACCATGCTCGGATTCTTTGTAGATCGATTTTCACTATCTGTGGTGTTTCTTTCTCGGTCAGTATTTCTTGAGTTGAATCTAAAAAATGCGAGCAAAGGTCGATTTCTTGTTTTACTATTGCATGTCGAGCTGTTTGTGGTTGTGACACATGTAATAATTCGTTTGATTCTAATAAAGAAATGTAAATATAAATGATAGAGAAAATACCATTTGAGGAAATTGTGTTTGCACTGTGTGCTTTTCGATGTTGAACATTCTTGATATATTCTATGAAAACTTTCAAATTCTATGTCATCTATTTGTACTTGGTGTGGTGTTTTAATTGTTTGTGATGGTAAATTTCAGTAGTAAAAACTCCGTAATAAGAAGTGATGCTGCTGATGTCTGGTAGATAGTGGTCGAGTACTTATCTTCAAATTTTTTTAGCGAATTTTTTTTTGCATGGTCTATTTCCATTTTGAACAAATTTGCCAATAATTATGGCAAAAATGTATTTGTCCTCTAGCGGGATCACTTTGTGGATGAATGACAAAAAGAAGAAAAGAGTTATCATCAAAATTGACGTCGTATTGAAAAGTGTTTTGTGCTGCATTACGCTTAATGTTTAACTTTCAATGTGTCTTATTGAATGATTCCAATTATAGAGTCGAACTGGTTCGCGTTGCGGAGGTATGAACTTTTTATTCTGTGTTTACCTAATATAGACGATGCTGTTGTAAATTCTGATTCGGAAGATTATTTTTGGTCGTTTATTGGTTTACTTTTGTCGTAAATTAAATTTAGAAGGATTTGAAGTTCTTGAATTGTAGTTGTATTAGGCTCCGAAACTGCGTTTCATGTTTTGGAAAATTTTTGTTTAACAATTAGCTTTTGTTTTGTTAGTATTGCCTTCTTTCGTGTTTGTTTTTTCGATCTAGTATATCCTATTTTTTGTCCAGAAGTGTGATTACAACATTGTATGTTTCGTTGTGAATTAAGCAATTGTTAAGTACTATTGTTTGTTTCTTTCCTAAATTATCTCTTGACATAAGTGTCAGGATGATGGTTGCAAAATCCACGTGTTAGGCCTTTTATTCCCTAAACTCTTAAGTTTCACGATTGTTGTGAGTTTATCCTAACTCGAGAAATAGGTTCTCGAGTATACACGGGTTAGAGAGAGAGAGAGAGAGAGAGAGAGAGAGAGAGAGAAAGAGAGAGAGAGAGATAGAGAGAGAGAGAGAGAGAGAGCATATCACTTCAATAAAAAAATGTTGTACTTTCTCGCTGGCTATGATTTATGTTAAGAAAAACTTACTTAATCTTACTCAGGGTTGCGATTTGTGATCAAGGATTGGGGAAAAGTAAATCAATCCACAAGGTTCAAGCATTAATAGAACACAAGCAGATAGTTAGATACTAATAGATATCTTACTAAAAATTTGTTGTGTTTTAGCTTGGGTCAGATTAGAGGAGGGGTTCAAGTGAAGGATGAAAAAACAAAGTTCTTCACTGTTTACTTTAATTAAAATGGTGAATTTTCAAAAAATTTCTATTAGTTCTGGTCGTTGATAAGGGTTGGAGAGTTAATCGATGTGGTCGTTAGACACTTTTTACTAGGAGGTTAGCCTAGATGATCTAGTTTGCGAAAAATTTAGATGATTACAGAACAAGGATAAGCCTTGACGATATTTAAGTTGCATATTATAGTTTGATTTAAAATTATGAATTATGGAATATGATTTATAAGTTAGAGAGTTAAATGATACTAATTTCTAATTGATTATGGTTATGTTTTAGATTAGGAAACAAAGAAACATTAGTAATGGAAGGATGGGGGTACAAAACTTGAGAAGCAATGAACTTCTTATAATTTCAATAGAATTAACTTTAACTTAACTTCCCACTACTTTTTGTATTTTGTATTTAATAAGTTTGCAGATTTGACAAAAAGAACAACTTTGGTATCTTTTTATTTGGTATCTTTTTATTATGTTTATATTAGATGGTTATACATCATGAAGAAGTATCCGGCTTGAAAATGAATCTTATTGGTCAAAGTCGTTTTTTTACTTTTTGTTAGAGAATGAAAACCTACTGCATTGAGAAGTATGAGGAGAATTAGTTGTTGCAGTTTTCGTCAATTCACAATATAGAAGCTCGGTCTCCTGTTCGGGTTTTGATCTGGTGTTTGCCGTATCGTTTGAAGTAATGGAGTAGATGTACTGAGACGTAGAGACATGCTTATTAAGTTTAATGTACTACCTAACTTTTTGCAATGTATTTTGTATCCTATTTCTGTTTTGTATTTGCTGAATCTAACTTTGTTAAGAGGTCTTGTTTGAGACTCTTGGTCGCACCAGATGAGTTTATGATCGGGGTGGCTCCTTCATAGAGTAGTTTCAGATAAGGTACACCGTCTCTTCTTCACGCTATCTTATTTTCGGCTGGATAGATTCGTGCAACTTCTTAGTCCATACCAATCTTAATCTTACTCTTATATCTCCAAGTCTCAACAGATCTAGTGTATACTGTTGTTTGCGAGTTAGATATCAGGAACTATTTTGAAGGAGAACAACTGTCTTCTAAGTGATTTTTATTTTGGTCTGTTGCTGAATTTATGAATAGTTTCAGCGATACAAATAAAGTGTTAGTTATGGATCAAGATTGGTTAGTTAGAAATTCTTTTAAGGGATAGTTTTATCATTAATATAAATGGATATAATTACTAGTTTTAAACTGGTTACACCTTTTTCATTTTCAACTTGGAACTTTAAAAAATGGTGTTTTTGCTGGGAGGTTATAACGAGAAGAATTGTCGGCTCTTTTCCACGCCCCACCTTTCAAAATAAATTTGGGTTTTTATTGTTGTCTTATGTGTTTTATGGGTAAACAGTCATCCTACAAAATTTGAGTTTGAATTAAGAAGTTCAAAAAATATTTTTCGTCTGTTTGTTCCGAAAGCATGGAAAATGACCTATGTTTCTGGAAAAAAAAAGCACAAGTTATTGATCTGAAAAATGAGGCTTCATGTACGAGTGTGTGTGTGTGTGTGTGTGCGGGTGGGGGGACTAACTGGTGCAAATATCTATGGACTGGGACTGGGTTATAGTGGGGTTGGCGGCCGGGTCTCCGTTCCACATGGTCACGTTAACTTGGGTAACATTGACAGTATACTGAGTGCCACTGTCCAAACTATAAGCATATATGATGGGCTCGAAAACGTAGTCTCCAGTATCCGTTATAGAGAACCCTGTGTTGGGCGTGACTGAGTAGCTGTGAACTATCTCCAGTATATTTCCAGCAGTCTCTGTGTTCACAGAAACATTGAAACTGTCGCTTGTCTGGCCAACAATTGCCAAAGTTATCTGTGAACTTTCTACGCCTAAATCTAAACAGCAAAATTCAACCTTCACAAATGTCAATTTAGCTAGATGGAATAAATTCGGACTCGAATGGAATGTTTAACCGTAGAAAATATGAAAAAAATCTGAATGAACAATTGACTACAAAAGTAACTGGTTCCGGCCACATTGATTTCTTGAGACGAAACAAAAACGATTTTTTTCCCAAATAGTGCAGTTTGTTTTTGTTCACAAAGGGAAAAGCGAGAGGGACAAAAGCTTATGTTCACTAAAGGAAAAAACTCATTTGGAAGTAGTAATGGCTCAAGTTGACTACAGTTATCATTGCAAAATCTGTAATAAAAATAGAAACAATTTCTTTTTCCATAAAAAGTAATCTAAAATTTTCGCGAACAAAATTTTTTTTCAGGCTCCTTCAATTTAAGATTTTTTGAAATTTTCGTGCTAGGAGAATAATAACTGAAGCTTTTCAATTTTTTCGCTTCAAGCTAAGTTATAATGTTAGTTAGTATGGTATAACTGAATGCTTCTGTAAACTATGCTTGCGTTGCTCGCTGTAAACTATACAAAAAGAATCAAATTATTCACAACGATTTGAAGACACGGATAAAATTATTTTATACATTTTTGAAATAGTGACTAAATCACGATTGAAAAAGTTTTAGTTTAAAATAAGGATGTATCATCAGAATTTTATTTTTGGTTATCTGATTTTACTCAAAAATTATTCTAAAAAACAAAGATAACCGGTTACTGTGAAAGTAGCACAGAATGTTCTGACCAGTCTTAACAAATTACAACAAAATTTTTTTTCCAATTACTGTTGTTTTTTCGGTTTGGTGCTATAAAGAAATCTGAGCAAAAAAGTAGAGATTAGGCATTTTTGTCAGTCATGTAAAATATGCAAATTGGAAAACATTTTTTAAAGTCAAATAACAAGAAAAACTAAAAAAAACTAAAAAAAAATATAATTTTTTTTTTCTGAATATTTTTTCAAAAACATTTTCTAAACTTTTGAAGTTTTGATTCCTACGATGAAGCTAAAAACTCCAAAAACTAACTTCATTAGAGTAAAATTAATCTTTTAAGACTTAAATTAAACATAAATAAGCTAATGTAAGCCTGCTCACTCGCACGAAAAATCAAAAGTTTAAAACCGTTTTTTTTTTTCAAAACCGGGAAAACATTTTTTGATGTCATTCGAATCAGGACGCAAAGGGCTTTAATATGATATATCACTCAACCCAGTCCGATGATTATTTGTGGTAGCTGATTTTGCGTGGAAAGCAAAAAAAAAAGAAAAAACTAAAACACACCCGAATACAAAGTTCCTCCCCATTTTCAATGGTTGGAACAATAAGGCATTCGAAACTAATTTCCTGCTCAGTTTTTGGTCGGAACAATAGCTCAATATTAAAGCCAGGGGAAAGTCTCATATTTTAGCTTGACTTTGAGCTTTAGAAAATGGAAAATTTTGTATTTCATAGAAGTTTGTCTTTCATAGATAAAAAATTATTTGAAAGGAAATTAAAGAAAAACAGGAGCAAGAACACAATGAGTGGCTTTACCTGAGAAAAGGAGGAGCAGGCAGCAGAGGAGATTAAGTCTTACCATGACAACAAACTGTAAAGCACCGCCCAAATGCAAAAACGGAATGTTCAGAAAAAAAGTTGACTGAAGCTTTCTCTTATCTGTTTATATATAGCTTATTATTCGAGCTATAAACAATGGCAAACAAAACAGCTGGTCGTAAAAATGAATTTCGTCCCAATGACTGTTCAAAAAATTAATGATCAACGAAAAAAAATCTTTTTAATTAAATTTCTGGCAATTCGCACATGAAATGTTGACGAGTCCATTTTAAGAGGTTTTCTTTGGTTCTTCATTACAGCGCTCCAGCTGTTTGGATTTCGAAGTGGTTTCAATCAAGAAACGACTATAATTACGAGAGCGAGACAGTGACGAAAATATGTATTTTACTTTCTTTTTACATTGGTATAATATTCGAACTCCTCGTGTTCAAAACACATAATAGTCGCAAGTTCACATTTTCAGCATAGTTTTGTGATATCGATGTATAAATGCGAATTTTTTCGCGCGTCAATTTTAATCATGAACAATTTTTCACCATTTGATCTCCTCACCTCATTATTGATTCCAAAGCATCCAATCATACATCATCGTTTCTAATGAAGTGTTGGCTTCTGCTTTCACATTTGCACCATTTGCGTCATCGATGGCGTTGGCTATAGACCCCATCATTTTCATGCTCTCATTTTTCACTGGATGTCTCGACTTTTGGTATGTTTGACTTTCTAGACCAAATTTCGTTATATTTAAACTTTTTCAGCTAATTTTGGTAAGTTTCGATTTTCTCGACCAATATTTTGAAAACTTTGTTTGTTCAACTGTGCTCGACTTATGTTTCGACTGTGCTCGACTTATTTTTCGACTGTGCTCGACCTATGTTTCGACTTTCTCGACCGAAGTTGGATCTATTTTGACTTTCTCGACCTATGTTTTGACTTTTTCAACCTATATTTCTTCTTTCTCTACCAAAATCGGGTATGTTTCGACTTTGTGCTTGATCTCTGTTTCGACCTACACGACAAAAACTGTGTATGTTTCGACTTTGTCGACCTATGTTTCGACTTTTGGACCAAATTCGAGTATGTTTTGACTTTCTAGACCGAAATTGTGTATTTCTCGAGTTTCTCGACCTGGTTTCGACTTTCTCGACCAAAATAGATTGTCTCGACTTTGTGCTTGAACTAAGTTGCGACTTCTTCGACCAAAAATGGGCATGTTTCGACTTTTTTGAAAAAAATGTTTCGGCTTTCTTGACCTATGTTTCGACTTTCTCGCTTTCTCGATCAAGAAATGTTCAGAGAAAATCGAATCAAAGGTCCACAAAGTCAAAACATACACAATTTTAGTCGAAAAGATCGAAACATTGATCAAGCACAATGTCGAAAGCACAAAGATTCGCAACCTATTTTTCAGTTTTCTAACTTGACTAAAATTGTTTGCTTTTTGACTTTCTCGATATATGTTTCGACTTTCTTGACAAAAATAGAGTATGTTTCGACTTTGTGCTTGATCTATGTTTCGATTTCTTTGACCAAAAGTTTGTATCTTTTGATTTTGTGATCGACCCATATGTTTCTACTTTCGCGACCCTATCGGGGAATTTTTTGACTTTCTCGATATTTTTTGACTTTTTCGATCTAAGTTTTGACTTTCTCGACCAAATTTGAGTATGTTTTAGCTTCGTTGGATTCGTGATTGACCTAAATTTTCTGTTTTTTCAACCAGCAGTGGGCAAGTTTTGATTTTTTTTACCTATGTTTTGACCTTTGCGACCTATTTTTTGACTTTGTCGACCAAAATTGTGCATGTTTTGACTTTGTGCTCCATCTATGTTTCGACTTTCTCGACCCTTGTTTCGACTTTCTCGACCTACCTTTCATTTTTTTGGCCCAATTCGGGTATGTTTTGGCTTTGTGCTTAATCTCTTTTTTGACTTCTACAACCTATGTATGGACTTCTTCGACCAAATTTGGGTATATTACGACTTTGTGCTCGATCTATGTATCGACTTTCCAGACCAAAATTGGCTTTCTCGACTTTCTGAGCAACATTTTAAAATTTTTGTTTGTTCGACTGTTCTCGGCTTATGTTTTGATTGTGCTCGACCTATTTTTCGACTGAGCTAGACCTATGCTTTGACTTTCTCGACCAAATCCAGTTATGTCTCGACCAAATCCAGTTATGTCTCGACTTTGTGCTTGAAAAATTTTTCGACTTTTTGGACCAACAATTGATATGTTTCGTTTTTTTCTCAATTTACTTTCTCGATGGACAATTTTTCAGAAATCGAAAGTTTTTTGTTCGACTCTACATAGATACGGTTCGACTTTCTCGATCAAAAATCGACATAATTTGGTTTCTTCGATTTCCCGACCAATATTTTAAAAATTTTGTTCATTCGACTGTGCTCGATTTATGTTTCGACTGTGCTCGACCTATGTTTCAACTGTGCTCGACCAATTTTTTGAGTGTGATTGACCTATTTTTGACTTTCTCAACCGAAATTGGGTTTTTAGACTTTTCTGACCTATGTTTTGATTTTTTCAACCTACGTTTCTTCTTGCTCTACCAAAATTGCGTATTTGTCGACTTTTTGCTTGATCTATAATTCGACTTACTTGACTAAAATTGTTTATTTTTTGACTTTCTCGATATATGTTTCGACTTTCTTGACAAAAATAGCGTATGTTTCGACTTTGTGCTTGATCTATGTTTCGATTTCTTTGACCAAAAAATTGTATCTTTGATTTTGTGATCGACCCATATGTTTCTACTTTCGCGACCCTATCGGGGAATTTTTTGACTTTCTCGACATTTTTTGACTTTTTCGATCTAAGTTTTGACTTTCTCGACCAAATTTGAGTATGTTTTAGCTTCGTTGGATTCGTGATTGACCTAAATTTTAGTTTTTTCAACCAGCAGTGGGCAAGTTTTGATTTTTTTACCTTTGTTTTGACCTTTGCGACCTATTTTTTGACTTTGTCGACCAAAATTGTGCATGTTTCGACTTTGTGCTCCATCTATGTTTCGACTTTCTCGACCCTTGTTTCGACTTTCTCGACCTACGTTTCATTTTTTTGGCCCAATTCGGGTATGTTTTGGCTTTGTGCTTAATCTCTTTTTTGACTTCTACAACCTATGTATGGACTTCTTCGACCAAATTTGGGTATATTACGACTTTGTGCTCGATCTATGTATCGACTTTCCAGACCAAAATTGGCTTTCTCGACTTTCTGAGCAACATTTTAAAATTTTTGTTTGTTCGACTGTTCTCGGCTTATGTTTTGATTGTGCTCGACCTATTTTTCGACTGAGCTAGACCTATGCTTTGACTTTCTCGACCAAATCCAGTTATGTCTCGACCAAATCCAGTTATGTCTCGACTTTGTGCTTGAAAAATTTTTCGACTTTTTGGACCAACAATTGATATGTTTCGTTTTTTTCTCAATTTACTTTCTCGATGGACAATTTTTCAGAAATCGAAAGTTTTTTGTTCGACTCTACATAGATACGGTTCGACTTTCTCGATCAAAAATCGACATAATTTGGTTTCTTCGATTTCCCGACCAAAATTTTAAAAATTTTGTTCATTCGACTGTGCTCGATTTATGTTTCGACTGTGCTCGACCTATTTTTCGACTGAGCTAGACCTATGCTTTGACTTTCTCGACCAAATCCAGTTATGTCTCGACCAAATCCAGTTATGTCTCGACTTTGTGCTTGAAAAATTTTTCGACTTTTTGGACCAACAATTGATATGTTTCGTTTTTTTCTCAAATTACTTTCTCGATGGACAATTTTTCAGAAATCGAAAGTTTTTTGTTCGACTCTACATAGATACGGTTCGACTTTCTCGATCAAAAATCGACATAATTTGGTTTCTTCGATTTCCCGACCAATATTTTAAAAATTTTGTTTATTCGACTGTGCTCGATTTATGTTTCGACTGTGCTCGACCTATGTTTCAACTGTGCTCGACCAATTTTTCGAGTGTGATTGACCTATTTTTTGACTTTCTCAACCGAAATTGGGTTTTTAGACTTTTCTGACTTATGTTTTGATTTTTTCAACCTACGTTTCTTCTTGCTCTACCAAAATTGCGTATTTGTTGACTTTTTGCTTGATCTATAATTCGACTTACTTGACTAAAATTGTTTATTTTTTGACTTTCTCGATCTATCTTTTGTTTTTCTTGACCAAAATTGCGTATGTTTCGACTGTAAGCTTCATCTATGCTTCAGTTTTTTTCGACCAAAGTTGTGTATGTTTTAAATTTGTGCCCCACTTTTGTTTCTACTTTCGCGACCAAATCTCGGTATGTTTTGACTTTCTTGAGACTTTCTCGACCTATGTTTTGACTTTATCGTCCCAGTTTGAGTTTGTTTTGGCTTCTTGATTGACCTATATTTCGGTTTTCTCAACCAACAATGGGCGGAATTTGACTTTTGTGACCTATGTTTCTATTTTCTCGACCAAAATTGAGTATGTTCCGATTTTCTCGACCCAGGTTTTGACTTTCTCGACCTATGTTTCGATTTTTTTGGCCCAATTTGGGTTTGTTTCGGCTTTGTGCTTAATCTTTTCTCAAGTTTCCTGACCAAAACTGTGAAATTTTTGACTTTCTTGACCTATGATTTGAATTTCCCGAACATAAATGCCAAAAATGGTCATGTTTTGACTTTCTTGACCTACGTTGTAACCTTTGGCCAGACATTACACAGTGACGGAGCACAGAAAAAGTACCTATTGACAACTGGCTGACGTCAGTTTGCTTAATCCTACGCGTTTTCAACCGTCTTGACGTAGCCAGTTGTTATGCTTGGTCTCAGATGATCAGACAACGTGATTACTATTGAAAACACGGCTAAAACCACAATTAAATTTGTTTTACTGACAGTTATACTAATAAATCCATCAGAGATGAATTGATTTTTTCCTTGACTCTAACTGCTCATGCTCTGAAATACCAAATTAACATTGGAGTGAAATAAATGCGTTCAGGGCATTACAGCAGTTAAAATATATCCTTAATGTCTTTCAACAGTCTCTGGGCACCGGCCTCTGTTTCCGTACTCTCCCGGAGATAACGATGCTATCTCTCAAATTTCGTAGCACGCGAGGTTTTGGATTCGTCCCGAATGTCCCACTGGACCTTCTGCTTCTAAAATCTTCTTCTGGCAGGCACTTTATC